TGAACTTTGGATCCAGGGTCTGAAGATCCAGAAAACATATAGTTAGTATATATTTATTCCTCAAATAAAAGTGTGCATTAGGGATGAAAAAATGTCATTTGTGATTAAATGGACATTTGGCAATAATGGACACCCCATCCCCCCACTGGTGTGTTAAATTGAAGGTTTACTATATGAGATTAATTTACTATAATTTTAAATGAGTATTTATATGTGAGAAATTAGTTAGAAGATTATGTATTATTTATTTAATTATGCTTGGGAAAATTAAAGGCATGAAAAGTTGCAACCTTTGCTCATAATTCCTTTATGGTTTCTGACAATCTTTAATACTAAATTTCAAGAACATATTTATTTTACTGTTATTTTACTATTAAACTCTTCAGGAAACATATACCCAGAATAGTCTTGAAATTATTTACTCTAGAGCAATTTTTTTCACAGTTTGAAATAGAAATCCAAATGCACTATTTGGGTAGAAAAATATTTACAGTGACCTTTGGTATGTTGCTCAATTAATGGAAAGATTTGTATTGCTGTTGTAATCACCTATACACTTTATTAAATGTTTTATTTGATAGTAGTTCTCAAACTTTTGACCACTCTGTGGTCAGGAGGAACATGACTGCTTACCAAAGGATTCTGGCACCAATCATCCACAACATTTCTTAGATGCATAGAGTTCAAGTATTACAATACACAACCAAAAATGCTTTGCTCCTTTCTTTTAGAAGCTAATGATCTATCATTTAACAGAAAGCTTTTCTTATTCTGCCCCTGGTGCAGAACAAGCATTCTTAAGTAGATGGGTCCCCACCTATGGTCAGTCAAAAAAAAAACCTGTTCCAGGCACTAACTTGGAAATTAGATCCCAAACCTGGAGAATTCGAAGCACATCCATAACATTCAAAAATGGGACAAAAGCCTTACATGAATCTTGTTTAGAAACTGACAAGTAATAATATCTACATAAATTCAAAATATTTTGGATTTTTTAGTTTGCATAACTAATAACATTCTAGAACTTAACCTTGTGAAATTCAAAATACTTATCTGGAGTTTATTTCCAACAAACATAAGGAACATTAACATATACAAAAACAGAAACTTTATGTCAGGGTTCTTATTGGGTTATATAGAAGCATGGTTTATTTTTGGATGCAAATCTATTTTATTTGAGAATGGTATACTCAAGAACCCTTTGTAGTCATTTGGTGAATGTGGCTTCAATTTTAAGGATTCAAGGATTTGCTCACGAATGGGAGCACCTCACAGAATATCTGCTTTCCTTTTAGTCATATAGCAGGATTCTGAACATGTCATTTTTTTTTAAAAAGCAGTCATGGTTTAATGGCCTCTGTGACATTTCCCTTGCTTTCCCCTAGGCGTATCTGCTAGCCATATCAAACTGTACCACCAACTTTCAGATATGACACTTCAGCAAAGCTTCCTGAATGCCAGTCATCAGCAGCTTGAACTATATTCATTTAAGGTGGACGGTGCAGATTTGCATGAAAAGCTGACTCTTTTAAAATTAATGCAACAATATAACGGTCTGATATTGACTCACTGCCTGTGATTAAATTAAGCATCATTTGACTAATTAATATTCAGCAGGGATTTCTTTTGAAAAACGGTGGCATGCAGTGGTTTGCATTGCTGCCTCACATCTCTGGAACCCTGGATTCAGTTACGGAGCTGCTATCTGTATGGGTATGCATTTGTATGTTCTCCCCCTTTTCTCACGGGTTCCCCGTGTGCTCCAATTTTCTCCAGACAGTCCAAAGACACACTGGTAGGTTAATTTGTTTCTGGGAAAATTGGTCCTGGTGTGAATGTACAGTATGTGTCTGTATTTGTACCTGCCCTGCGATGCACTAGCATCCCATCCAGGATTTGAATTGGCTACATTACTCTGCTCTCCTCCCCACTGATGGCTGATGTGTGGTGAGCGTTCTGGCGCACTGTGGCTGCCGTCGCATCATCCAGGTGGGGCTGCACATTGGTGGCAGTGGAGGGGAGTCCCCATTACCTGTAAAGCGCTTTGAGTGGAGTGTCCAGAAAAGTGCTATATAAGTGTAAGCAATTATGAATGATTATTATTTATCCAGCCTTGCACCTGTGATTCGATGGGTTAGGCTCCGGCTCCCCCTGTGACCCTGTATTGGATAAAGTGGTTTAGAAAATCAATGGAGTAACAGATATTGAGGATATATTTGAGTTATTAATTGCTCTATATTTACCACTTATCTCATACAGGTTTAAATGTAAAAACCAACAAAATTGCTGAGGCCAACAATGTAAACAGAAATTGTCTTTACAGCTACCTAGAGGCTCAGATTTTGCACCATATTGAAAAAAAGTGAGGAGTCAGTAGGGCAAAAAATCTGCGAAGGCAAATTGCCGACTTTCGTGGAAAAAGATTGTTACTCGCTGTCTCAGCATAGAACTTGTATCTCTTGAGATGCACCAATAATTTACATCCTTACATTAAACATTGTAATAAAGAGACATGGAGTAGTTGAGTCCAATTCTCCCATTATGACCTTCCTAAAACTGACTGAAGATGGAAGAGTTGATCTCAAGAGTGGGATGGGAATTAGAATGACTGAAAAGCTTTATGGAAGGAATAAATGAGCTATGCAGACTTCTCCAAAAGGGGACCACCACTTGGAGCCCAGAAGGGTTCCATTCATTCACAAGATGCAATGAAATACCACTCAAATTCTCATGAATTAAGGTGACACACTGACTTTAAGTAATTTTGTGGTTTGGGTGTCAACTTTCACGACAGTCGACTAAAACTGTAAAGCACCTGATCAAGCCCATTGTAAGGATCTGTCCTCACAGCTCAGTTCAGTTATGACTCCAGACCCCCTAACAACTACTCGGTGCTTTCATGCTGTAGTGAGCAATTTTAATTGACTGTTTTGTTTAACTTCCTCAAATCCTGAGGGATATGTAGACTTTTTTGTTGTGGTTAATATGGGATCCACCTTATTTTAACAACATCTGATAGACATCTTTAAGGAAAAAGCAACATTGATTTTGGTAGGCTTTTAATTTCTGAGTGGAAAAACGTTCAGGATTGCTCTTCCAGTTAGAAAATCAATAAATAAAATACTGATCCAAGACTTATCAGGGAAAACTGATCTGCTTTACATCTTAATGAATACATGCGCCCATTTTCTAACTGTTTTATCCAAAACAGAGCTGCGGGGGAGCCGGAGCCTGTCCCGGCAAGCAATAGGTGTAAGGCGGGATACACTCTGGACGGGACACCAATGACCCTTCCAATTATCCCAAAAGCCAGATAACCTGCCATCGCAAAAGAAAACATGAACATACAAATGCCACGCAGATAGCACTTCAGGTCCAGAAGTAAACCCATGGCCCCCGCCTATCTTAATTTCTCTGAACTTAAAAGAGAATACATTTTCACAACACATAGTTGAGATCTTTAGTTTTTAAAGGTCTATGGTTTGACGTTTCTCAGTTGTTTTCAGCAGGTGGTTCTTTATTGTTCCGTGTATACATAGACCATCTTTTCTCTGTAAGAAACCTTTTCAAAGCCCTTTACAGAGTCATATGACAACTGGAAGAAATAGTAGAAAGTAGAAATACAGTGAAAAATTTAGTGTTGGAAACATTCTTGAGATTTACAAATATTTGACAAGGGAGTTAAGTAACATACTTTGAATTTCTACAAAAAATACTTCGAGCATTCTACAACCTGATAATTACTTTGCAAAAAACTATTGAGAATGCCAGGTTTTAGAAAAAATATCATAAAGGAAGATAACAGGTTATGGGAAATCATTCTCAGTTTAGCTATTCAAGGCTAAAATCTGTCAAAATGTTAAACTTAAAAAGTTCTCTGAATGTCCTAAGAATGTCCAATAAGAATTTAAATGGAAATTATAAGTAGGTTGTCATAGAATAAGAGTTCAAATATATTCTTTTGCAAACATTATTTATTATCTTAGTCTACAATCTACAGAATATATTCTACTTTTGTTTAAATACATGATTTCTTTAGAATTGTATTTTTCTGTAAATAACATATTTGCAAGACGAACGTTTTGCACTGTATGGAAACACTATTATATAATTATGTTCATATGTAAACATGAGGGTATCTAGAATGGAAACGTAATGGTATTCAGATATTTTACCAAAGTATTTTGTGCTGCTACATGGAGAGTTTATTTTGTCAGCCTGAGGCAGCTATTAAGGGTACTGTAGCTGTGTTATGTAATTATATTCTTAAACGTATATGATGCAGCTTCTGCTAAGTTTATTTTAATTAATTTACACCTTTAAGGCTGTTTTTGAAAAATTATGTTAATGTATTTATCTGTCTATCCATTTTCTAACTGCTTCATCCAATTCAGAGTCACAAGGCAGCCAAGGTCTATCCTGACAAGCAAAGGGCGCAAGACTTTATACACCCTGAATGGGATGTCCTGGGTGGATAGAGTCTGACTCCCCTGTGACCCTGAATTGTAAGAAGCACTTACCAATATGGATGGATTGATATTCTAAATATCTTTTATTATTTTACATGACATACTATGAGAGCTACCATTTGAGTGAAATTGCTCATAACAGTCCAGATGTGGTGTGCTTTAATCGTTTGTTTGCTCAGAAATGTCACTTGTAAGAGTGGCAAGTGGACACTAAGGCTACAATTCTCAATTTTCCTAGTGTAATCTTTTAGTTTGCAGACTTTCAGCAGTAGCTCCAGTATAATTTATATTTAGCAGGTAAAAAGGATGAACAAAGGGTTCATATCTGACATATTAGATTTCTTTGTCAGACCTGGCCTGAATCTCTTAAAGATAAATTTGCCATCATTTGCTCATACCTTTGAAAACCTGATCTTTTGAGCTGCGGGAGTTATGAGTGGATGTAGTGCCATCTAGTGGTAGAAAAGGGAACATATTTAGTACTTTAATCCACCGTCACAATTTATATCTGTTTTTTCCTGTCTCGTTTAGATCAGCATCTTTATGACCCATTTATCTAACTATGGAAATGACCGCTTGGGTCTCTACACATTTGCAAACCTGGCCAACTTTGTTCAGTGTTGGACCAACCTCAAACTGCGCACTCTGCCACCAGTCCAGCTGGCTCACAAATACTTCCAGCTCTTCCCCGAGCAGAAGGAACCTCTTTGGCGGGTACGTGAAATTGTGCTTAGAGAAAGCTGTGTCTTCTAGTGAGAGAAAATGTACATAATAAATCAGGATGTTTTCTTAACAAATGTGTAACATTTGCCAACAGAGCGTGAATATTTCATATTGCATTTGAGTGGTTAAAAATCAGTAAATATTTTACCACCATTTAATTGAGAATTATGAACCGAAAGCATATTTTATAATAACCTGATGGTTTATATTCTTGAAGGTTGTTTAAAGTAAAAAACTATACCTGTGTTTAATTACAGTAAATAGAATTGATTATGTGTGGTACTTATCCTTTGAGATAGGTACTTATCCTTTCAACCAGCACTTTTATTGCTTTACATATCATTACCAGAACCCATGTGATGACAGAAGACACAAGGATATCTGGTCAAAAGAGAAAACCTGTGATCGCTTGCCCAGATTCTTGGTGATTGGGCCTCAGAAGACCGGTATGTAGAGTCTATGATGTTCAGTACCTCTAATACAATACCTAAAAACAGCCTTTAAAAATAATTGAAATTTATAGGTGGTTTTCTATAACAACCCATCTAAAAAATTTAGTGTATATATACTGCATAATTCATGAAAGAGAGCTTCATACAGAGGGCTTATTATTGTGATTATCAGACATGTCTTTTAGATGGCAGCTGGACCTTTTTCTAACTCGGCTTTTTCTTTTAAATAGGGAGGAAATAACAGAAAGTCTGACATTTACTTTCAAAAATAAAATCCTGGATGTCTGTGGCTACAGTAATCCCTTCTTAGATTGAGAGTAATATATTGCCTGGCCACTGCTCTGGGCAGAGGTCTTAATAACAGGCCAGTAGAAATGAAAGTACAAAGATCAGCAGGGTATGCATTTACTTACTAAAGCCCAAGAACAAAATCTGTAATCATCTGAGCAGTAGAAAAAAGGGAGCACTAGAAAAAGAAATATTTTATTGTTTTGTTTTTGTAAATGTCTTTTTTTTAAATAAACATATTGCATATATTTTTAGGAGAAATGTCTTGTAAACATAGGATGAACAGATGCTTTTCAGATTGCCCTAAGGCCCCCAGAAGTCCTTATTAATGCAGAAGTAGTTCTTCATTTTCTTGGCACACAGATCTTTTTTACAAGCCAAAGTAATAGAAGCTCACTTTCAAATCAGATAATTTCTAAAATATGAACATCAATTATTTACCTTACCTTAGAGGTATTATTATTAATTCCAATCAATGACTTTACTCCCTGTTTTTTAAACAAGTAATAAGACATTACAAGGAAACATTGTGCTTCACAATATGTACTATTTGTTGTAATTATTTTGTCAATGCAATAATTATTGCAAAGGAAATTTAGCTACAATATAAATCTAAATGCTTACTCAAATCGAGTATTATTTAAATGGCAAATCCTTTTATGCTTCTTAAGGTCCAGCCTTTGAAATGTTTGATAGTTAAATCTGTTTTCCAAGGTAGAATCTTACATTATAGTGTAAACACCTACTGTACATTGCATTGAATACCCTGTTGTATTTGAATCTTACACATAATCAGGAGTTAAAATATACTGTATGAATATTATCATCATCACCTACAGTATATACGTAAATACTCCATCAGAGTTTTCTACTATTATAACGACTTTGAATGTTACATATAAGCTTTAGTCTGGATGAGAAGACATCAAACATCATAACAATCTCTAATTCATATTGATGAGTATCTTTACAAACGATCAAACAAATCCAAAGTAAACTTACATGAACAGGCAATATGAAGTGTTGTAATAGCTAATCCATCTGATTTACTAGTCAAAATTAAATGGCTCATTGTTGGGTGTTTCTCATCTTTAAAATATTTTCTTCTTCCCTGCATTTCCATAGAGCTGCAGTAAATGTTACTTTTTGTACTACAAAATATAGATGTCTCTATATTTGATGTCTCTATAATTATGAACTCAAAGCAAAATGGCTAGCATGGGTGTTTCTGCATCAAGAAGGAAAATAGAGTGAAAATAATTAAAACAATGCAAAGTGTTTCACTTTTGTTCTGCTGTCTATATAGACAGTGCATGAATATTAACAGATCAACTTTCAATGTTTTCTCCTGCAATACATGATTCGGTCCAGTTTTTTTAAAATTTGGTCCAAAACCGTGTCAAAGTTACATGTTTTCTTTTGTTGCTCCTTTATACAGTATGTCTCTATTGTCCCTGGTTGGAACTGATTGTTTGAACGACTACTTTCAAAACCTGAGAAACAGAGTCTTCTCTAGAGTGAAAATAACCTATCTGTGTTTCAGATAGAACTGAAATGTGGCTAAGATTGCAGAGATAAATAAGGAAAAAATTCAAACCTCACTGTTGTTGCTGACACAGAGATAGGCATTGCATCTGTTCTGCAGATTAAAAATGCATGTTCTGTTATCAACAGTTTTTTTGTGTAAATTAAACTGGATTGAAAATCTGCTTCCTTTCACCACAGTATAATGATGGACAGGCTGAGAATTTCGTCTGAGAATCAAGAGCAACAATATAGGAAAATTAGTTTTGACGTTTCTTGTTTGGAGTGAACCATTGCAGAGTTCAATGTTTATAATGTAGAACAATGTATAAACTCAAAAAAGAAATAACAATTAAGAACAAATGTGCTCTTACTAATGAAATGTGGGAATTGTGACCTTTTTAAATAAAATTGCATAGTTCATTTGATAATTTTAAATGTCTGTTATTTTTTCAAAATGTTGCTCATAGGCTATAGTTGCTTTGTCAACCTCTAATGTGTCCAAGTTCAAACTGTGCATCTGTGTTGGAGAAGACTTCCTCATTTCCTCAATTAGTAAAGAAAGGGGTTTATTTTTCATTAAAATAGATTAAATAGAAGTTCATTTTTAGGTCAGGCTAAGATTAAGCTATGTGACGTACAATATCCAAATAAATCAATAAAAATATATGGAAAAGGTTAAATGAAAGAGCCTGGTCGGCAACACTGATTGCTATTAGGTCTGTGAGCATGGATACCAAAACAGATTTCTCTAACAAAACACTAGTGGGATTCACTATCCAGGGTTAAATCATTTCTAATCCAGCCATTTCATATTATCCATGAACTATCAACTGAAATGATACATTGGTTGATATTGGATGGTAGTCCTGATTGGGATGCTGTCTAATATTATATTATATTATATTATATTATATTATATTATATTATATTATATTAAAAAACAATTACCGCACCATATAACAGTACAAGATAAAGATTTCTCCCAATTCTTTCTGTAACAGATGCACTCATGCTATGACCGGCACATACTCACGCATGTTTTGGGAATTTCCTGTAGTACAGCATAGACACTATGTGACTCTTGGATATAACTGGTTTAACTGTGCTGATGAGTACCGGGCTCCCAGGTTTCTGTAAATAATCAGGCGTGACATCTAAAGGGTGTAACTGCAGCCAGAAAAACTGCTTTTGTAGGACTGAGATGCCCCTGGCTCATGTTTGATTGATTTCAGTTATACATTTCTAAAATCATCGACTCCTACAAAAAGTACATCTACAAAACATTGTGCTAGTGCAAATAATGTATCAGTTTCATTTTCAATAAACACCTAGGGGTGGTTCAGATCCTTTTTTATATTTGCAAAAATGGCTTATCTAGCTTCCATTCTCTTTGTATTTGTTTTGTTCTTTTGTGATCTATTTTTATGTTGTCATATTTATTGTCTTGTGTGCTAAAATAATGATAAAATTATATATTGGCGGTATCTGTCTTTTTTTTTTGCAGGAACTACAGCATTGTATCTATTCCTTATAATGCATCCTTCAATAACCAGCAATTTTCCTAGTCTGAAAACCTTTGAGGAAGTTCAGTTCTTTAATGGCAACAACTACCATAAAGGCATTGATTGGTAGGAATTCATTTTCTTAACTATATTAAAATTGTAGGTTTACTTTGTAACTTTCCTGATGTGTAGAGTTTCATTTGCTTCAATGCTTTAACAAAAGAGTGATAAAAATTGTCTTCATTCTGTTGATCAGAATAAAACTTGAAGCATATAGAATGTATTCTCTGCACAAAGTACATTTTAATGTAACGTGTTTTGTTTGTTTAAAAAATACTAGAGGAATTTATAGTTCTTGGGGGTGGTGGGGTCTGGATAGACATCTTAATCTTAAGTTGTAAACATTTTTCAAAATTAGTAAAGAAAATGTATTTTGTACATAAATATACAGTGCATCCATTTGAACATTCATGTTAATGTGTTTTTTGCATTTTCCTTAAAAAGCATTAATTTATATTGACCAAAATTTAAAAAATTATTCTGTTTATCAAGAAGATGTCAACATGAGACAATTTTTAATAAACCTGATTATTAGTATGAGCTGGTTTTATTGTATCACTTTAGTGAATTGATTAATTTATTGCCCTTCATGAAAGTTAAATCAATAATGCATTGGATTATAACATTTCTGAAATAATGTTTTTTAATGTAATTTTAAATTCCTATATTTTTCAAGTTTGTACTATATAGTTATTTATAAACCTTCGTTTTGTTGTCTGTGATTATATCAATTTCCAGTTTATTCACATTTTTCTCTACCCGTGATTTATACTCTTCAGTAAAAAATACATTTATTGTAATTTGTATAGTGCATTATTTACAGCATTGTATTTCTGATTAATCAGCTATTACACATTGAAATGACAGAATAAGAAAATTTAGCTTGTAGTTAAATGCCTTGTATCGTAAAGAAAAGTTGTGATTTATGGAGCACTAGATTACTTTCATAAGTGGTTAGAATTACTGCCTCACAGCACTGGGGAACTCAGTTCAATTCTGGACCTTAGGTGCTATCTGTGTGGAGTTTGTAGTGGTTTGTGTGGATTTCCTCTGGGTGCTGTGGTTTCCTCCCACAGTCCAAAGACATGCTGATAGGCCTTCTGAGAAAACTGGCCCTGGTGTGAGTGTGTGCGTGTTTGTGTCTGTGTTTGCCTTGCAGTGGACTAGAATCCTGTCCAGAGTGAATCCTGCCTTGCACCTGATGCTTGCCAAGATAGGGCCAGTTCCCCTGCAACCTTGTATTGAATAAAAGCCATTAGAAATTGGATGGATGGATAGATTGGATGGATACAGTTGGGACCTGTATTGATAAGAAAGATCACTGGAGCAATGGAAAGTACAGTCGTAAATAAAACGTAAACAATTAAATGTTAAAGTAAAATTAAAAGACCAAAATGCTCTGAATTGCTTGTGCATTTGAAGCATTAAAGAAATGTTGTTTAATAGCATATGAAGCTGATCTCTGTGATTTTAATGGTATTACAAAAGGTAGGTACAGTAGATAGGGAAATGAACAGATACTGTACATACTAACAGCCCAGGAAGGATATGACAAATGAGGATTAATGGGGAGGAGTGGTATTGTACATTAGTAATAATATAAATATGAAGGTGTTTAAAATGAGTAAATCTCTCATTCCTTGTGAGGATGAAATGTATAGTTAGGGTGCTAGTTAAATTTGTGAATTTAATGACAATTGATCTGACTCTAGATGTGCACATCAGGTCAGTTTAAGTAAATCTCTTCATTACAGTTAGGAACACATGAGCTGCAGTAATGGGGAATTTTAATTACTCTTTACAACAACAACATGACATAGCTAAGTACAAACTGTAAAGCCACAAAATGACATAGACAAGAAAATTGGAACAAGAATTATTAGAAGTGGTACATGATTGTGCTTATTAACACAGTCCTAGATTTCAGTAATAACCAGTTTCGTTTCATAGAACTCAGTTTATTGAACCACTGGGATCAAGTTCTCATAACATGGTGGATTGTGAGGTCTTTGAACAATCCAAACCAGCTCTATCTAATACATCACTTAATTTTCAGTTGGGACGCCACAATCATGTGCAGTGTATAGGTACAGTAACTGGCTATGGCAATAAACTATAAGAAAAACGCTTACCTGCTTCTCTGATATGAAGAACTCCACCCCACTAACTTCAGACAGGGATAGGACTTTTATATACAGTAGAAGGGTGCCAGATTGAAGATAGTCCTAGTCTCACTTATGATACAGTGTCTGAAATAAAGAGTACACTGACCATATATTTAGGGAAGACAAAGCAATTTTGTGGGAGTTAAATGTTTACTACACTATATCCTAACATTTTAGAAAAAAATGCTTTAGTCTTAATTAGGGTTGAATGTTAATTTGTGGGGTGTCTGGAAGTGGTGTTAGTGGGACCAGTAGAGGGTGCTCACCCTGCAGTCTGTGTGAGTCCTAATGCTGACTCTCTGTGGTCATTAAAAATCTCAGGGCATTTCTCAAAAAGAGTAGGCCTGGCCAAATTTCCCATTGACCTTTACTAGTCATGGCCTCCTAATAATCAACATCTATGAACTGGCTTCATTACCCAGGTTGGGACTGCACATTGGTGGTGTTGAAAAGGAGTCTGCATTACCTGTGAAGCACTTTATAATTCAAAGGAATTATTATTAAATTAAATTTCAGGGTTATACTGTCTTTATAGTGAACATCAACTGCTTCACTAGAAACTAAAGAAAGCCGTACTACTGTACATGCAACCATTACTTCCTTTAGTTAGTGTTATGTTTTCAGAAGTCACAAATTTCAAACACGTCATATTCTTTTTGACACTCTAATTATAAATCAAGTTTATGACCAGGTAACTTTCTTGAAACAGGTTTCTAGTTTACAATTTGTTAAACACTGTTTTTCCTTGTAGTTACAAACATACAAAAGGTAACAAAAGAGCTTTCGGCTCAGTTAGCTCATTTGTTTGCAAGAAATTAGGTTATCTGAGGATCTCTTCAACTGTTTCTTAAAGTGTCAGCTTTGATAACATGGCTAGTTATTTTGTTCCACACTCCTATGATCTTTTGTGTACAAAAGGCATTCAGCTCTGAATGCACTTCTCCATAGTTTTTACATGTGTCCTGTTTTGTGTTTCACCATTGGTTCTGGAGATTTGGAAGTCCAATGACAGGATTTTAAACCTCTATCCAAACCTATAAAGATTCAGTTCTTTTAACATATCAGTGTAAAGAAAGTGCTTTATGTCTGAGAATGTATCCAGTTATCCTTCTGTGATTACTGGCTCCTGAACTGCCATATCTTTTTTGTAAATAAGAAATTAATCAAAACTTGATTGCAAAATGCTAATTGTGTTTTATTTTGTAAATTTGTAATTATGATTATAATTGTAATTTTAACACTGATTTACATTCTGCAATTCAAACTGTATATCCTTGTGTGCTGCTTATTATTTCACCACATTATCTAGAGACAAAAAGACGACAGCATAGGAAACAATATATTTTTCATAACTTCTTGCAATCCATTGGTTTATTACCTTATATACATAGTTTATGGTTTTGATATCTGTTTATATCTCCAGTTCTCAATATTAACTATTATCTTCCTGGTGTTTGGCCATTTTATATGGTCCTTAATTTAAATTATAAAGAACAGTGGACCTTTTAGAAATCCCTGTTTTACACTACTTATATTTTCTTCTTCATCATCCAAGCACATGCATTAACTTGAATGCCACCTACCTGCAATTAAGCGGATGAACTTTTTTAAAAGCATTCTGCAAATCTAACAGCTTAGTCAAGAAAGAAATTGCCTTTACAAATCCTTGTTGAATGTCTCTTAGAAACCTATTGTCATGCACATATTCGTCCAATTTAGTTATCATTAATTAATTATCATTATAACCTTACATATAATAGATGAAAAACTTATTTGTTCACAATTATTATATCTTGTGTTGTCTTCTTATTATCACTTTACTTTTTGTTCCACATCATGACAGAGCATAATTTCAGCAAAACTAAAAAGAGTGGTTTCCAGAGCATGAACATAGGACTTCAAGAAAATATATTCTTCTTCTCATAGGTACATGGAGTTTTTTCCCATTCCCTCCAATGTGACAACAGATTTTCTCTTCGAAAAAAGTGCAAATTACTTTCCTTCAGAAGAAGCACCCAAGCGTGCTGCTGCACTCTTACCAAAATCAAAGATCATCACACTGCTCATCAACCCCTCAGATCGAGCCTACTCTTGGTATCAGGTAAGCAAGTATTGACTTATATAGCATAAAGTGCTCAATATATTGTAGATCCTTTACATGCAAAATGCATGTCAGGATTATACAGTACACATGGTCAGATTTGATCACCAGGCAAAGTGTTAGGGTAATAATGTTGGCATCTGACTGTCAAGATGAAAACTTGACAATCAAATTGTTCTTTGCTCTGCAGTGTAAGTTTACAGTCATGCTCTAACATAGCGTCTCAGCATTAACACTATATCATCACATCAATAGCAGATTATCCAGCAGCCATATCACTCTGCAACTCATAACTGGCAACCCTCTGAAGTTAAGTAGGTGTGAGCCTGGTCAGTACCTGAATGGGAGACCTCCTGGGAAAAACTAAGGTTGCTACTGGAAGAAGTGTTAGTGAAGCCATCAGGGTGAGCTCACCCTGTGGTCCATGTGGGTCCTAATGCCCCAGTATAGTTATTGAGACACTATACTGTAAACAGGCGCTGTCCTTCAGATGAGACGTAAAACCGAGGTCCTGACTCTCTGTGGTCATTAAAAATCCCAGGGCGTTTCCTGGCCAAATTTCCCATTGGCCCCTACCTATCATGACCTCCTAATAATCCCCATCTGTGAATTGGCATCATTACTCTACTCTCCTCCCCACTGATGGCGCTAGATAAGTGTAAGCAATTATTATTATTATCCAGCTCAGGGTCATGTTGGCTCGGTACCTATTCCATAAAGTAGTGGACGTAAGGTGGGGTTGCCCTGGACAGGACACCAGTCCATCGCAAGGCATACACAGAAACTGTATGCACACACTCACACCAGGGCAAATTTTCCCAAAAGCCAATTCATTTATCTAGATGTCTTTGAACTATAGGAGGAAACCGGAGCACCCGGAGGAAACCCACGTGAACACCTGCAAACTCCACACAGATACCACCCCAGGAAATGGACCCAGGGTCCCTGTGCTGCAAGGCAGTAGTTCCAAATACTGTGCCATCATACTGCCCTGCAACCCTAGATACAGAATATACTGTATATGAAACCCCAAATCACTCTAATGTCAAGTTGATCCCTCCAAACCAAGGGCAGCACATTGTATGTCACTCTATTTCTTGTACCCAGGTCATCAAAATTGAGCCCGGCATTTGTTTAGAGAGGGAGGAAATAATCAATATTAACATATTTATTCAAGGAAAAAATAATAGGTTTATTCCATGCTGAAAAGAGAAGAAAGAAGTTGAAGAAGTATAACACCTGAAGAAGGCTCCACGGCCGAAACATTGTGTTCTCTTTCTTCTCTTTTCAGCATGGAATAAACCTTTACTTGTTCCTTTGCAGCCTACGCATGCTGACGCAGCTACCCACCTGAACTATATTTCTTCATATGTTATTGCATGATTATTATTTGTTTAAAAAAGAAGCATATACTCTATCATCATAAAGACTAAATAATTAAACTTTCTTATATTCAGTGAGAATGCATTGCTGTTTCTAAACATTTTATTTGAGATGGCAAATTGGTTTGATTCTAAGCTTTGTCATTTCCCAAAATTTAAATCAGAATACCAGTAGTGGCATCATTGGTTGACCTTTTTCCATTTTCTGGCTGGAACCATGGCTTCATTATAATATATTCAACAGTGCAATGCAAGAAAAGGAAAACAGCTTTTCTCAAGAATGTGATTATTATCTGCATTATATCAGGATATGGCAGGTCTTTAGTGGAAAGCAAAGAAAATGTTTTTGAAATTGTTTAATTGGAGCACAAACGGGGATACTTAATTACATACAGTATACTGAAAAAATAATTGTGTTGTTGCTGTATAATTTTATACTCTAGCTATTATTTATAAACAAATTAAAATCAGTAAACTTATTCGCTTTATTGTAGCTCAAGGAGGTAGCTGCGTCAGCATGCGTAAGCTGCAAAGGAACAAGTAAAGGTTTATTCCGTTGAAAAGAGAAGAAAAGAAATGCAACGTTTCAGCTGTGGAGCCTTCTTAAGCTCCACAACCGAAATGTTGCATTTCTTTTCTTCTCTTTTCAGCATGGAATAAACCTTCACTTGTTCTTTTACCTTCATTGTTTATTGAAGGGTACAATACAACAGCAAGGTGGGGTTACTCGTATCTGCCTCACTTACATTGCCAAATGAAAACATAAATTCTTCTTCAAAACATCTTAATAGATATTTTGTGTTGCACTTGTGAAAAAGGATAACAAAAGAGCAGAGCGGCTGACCTCACCTTCAACTCGCATTTTATCTTGTGTAATATCCAGTTGTCTTTAAGATTCTGAAATCACAAGGAGTCTGACAGAAATATAAGTACTCTCCTTCTCTGGTCTCAGCTGGGAGTGAGCTTTGAACATTGTGGTCTCCAGAGAGCCTCTAGGCAAAGTGAAAATATTATTTTCCAGAGTGAGGTTTTAAGGTTAAAAAGCTTATAAAAACTCTCCCACTAAAGCTGTAGTGATATTTTCAAAGGCCTCTGCAGTGGTATAAAGCAGATTGTGTTGTGTATATGAATTTATAAGTATAAACAAATTTGGAACTGTTTTTGTAATGCTGAAGAAGAACAGCATATGATAGATACAATCTTTTGAATCTTCTATGCCTTTTTATATATTTAAATGTGTTACAAGATAGTACTAAAGAAATAAACCAAAGGACAGGTTGGATCTCATCATTAAATACTTCTACCTTTGACATTTATTATTGGGAACCATGTTGTCAAAACACTTAAATTGATCTTCTCATTTATTTCTCTCTCAAGTGAAGTACATTATTATTTCTTTTTAAGAAACATATTTGAATTTCATATCATCTAGTAACAGTAATGTTCAGAGGTTGTTAAATAGTGAGAAATGGCCAATGACATCAGTAGGTGTGCTTGTGTCATAAATGTAGATGAGGAGACATCTGCACATCCTAGGAGCTTTCTGCTGAAGGAAAGGCTCTTACTAAAACTGTCTTGTTAAGTTCCTCCATTTACAGATGAGGCAGATGAGGTTTAATCTCAAATTAATTTTCTACATTCCCTGAATGCAACTGCATTGTCTTAATTGACATATCTGAGTTGTTATCTTGATGCTTTTGTTGCTTCTTAGTGCTAAATTCTCATTTTTCTAATGACAATATCAATTATATGCCGCATGAATAAATGATTTTTACTGGAAATGCTTTTTTCTACACTATATGAAATGTATTTCTCCAAAAACAGGGAAAAGAATGAATTAAAGATATGCACAAAGCATTCAACGAAGAAAAATGAAAAAAATATTCATTTATTTTGTGTTTATTTATAAGGGTGTTAATGGGGTGGCGGGAGGGGTGCGAGAGAGGTGTGCGATGAGAAGCGTGAAACTTTAGGATCTAACCTTACTTCCGAACTTGTTAAATTTCCATTAATGGCACCTCCCACAGAGATTTGTTTTGTTCCTTAATATGTAAACAATAGAACATAAGAAACAGCTGTTTTGTTTTCACTTAAGAACTTGTAATTAATTCTTTACTTCTGTGGAAATTCCCTGTAGCACCAAAGGGCTCATGAGGATCATGCTGCTCTGAAATACAGTTTCTACGAGGTGATTACAGCAGGACACCATGCCCCACCCGAGCTGAGATCTCTGCAGAACAGATGTTTGGTTCCAGGCTGGTATGCTGTCCATATTGAGAGATGGCTTTCCTACTTTCCTCCAAGTCAGGTAAGAAATTACTGCAGCATCTGTTAATAATAATTAGATGGTCTGCTGTCAGGATGTGACTCGCTACTTGTTGACAAATGAAATAACAAATCCGATGAGTGTATGACACTTTTATTATAAATATAGAACAACTGCAAAGCTTAGTTGATTCGGTGTATTTTAAGAGTATCATATCTATTTCCTTGCAATTTTTAATTTATATTAGTTAATTATTAAAAGGAATTACACCATCAAATGAGCAGTATAATCTTAAATTAAGCGTTTAATTTGTTACAGTTTTTTAAAGAAGTCTAATTATTTTTCTTTGACTTTTCCCATATATCAGTGGTTCTCACAGTTCTATGGTCCACGGACCACTTACACCAAGTCACAGATGCGGTGGACCGTCTACTGTATGCCTACATCCACTTCTGACCCTGTAAAATTCATCACCTATTAATGTACTAAAAATAACTAATATTGAATTAAATTTTAAGAAAAGTACTAATATTTTTACAAACAAAGCTGCATATTTTGCAAATGTTTTTATTAATTCAACAGTTAATGTGAAGAATGGAGCTGCTTTAGTTGAGCAATCAGAGAAGTGACATCTGGATCCAAGCTGGACAACTTTAGTCTCATGCCCTATTCCACATTCAGCCGATTTCTCTTCTTTCTTTGTCAGTCCAATAAGTGTAAAAAATCTAAGCTCACAAGTGTAGGTTGTTGGGAACGGTAATAGATGCTTCAGAGCAAAGAGACAACAGTGCATTAAAAAGAAAAAAACATAATGGTAACCTCGTTAGAGCAGATCAGGACACAACTCCAGAGCAGTGTGATAAAAAGAAGAAGAGAGAGGGACAAAAGAGCCAGGTGGGAGAAGTTTGGCGAGCTACTCAGAATAACAGAAGAAAAGAGCACAAGTTTTGTTATCTGCATCGATTGTGAAGCACTTTACAAAAATGACTGTCACAAGACTAGGCTACTTTAGTCTGTTTAAAACAAGGAATCTGGATATGATGTTTCAATAAATGTTCATCAAATTAATTTTCAAATATTGTTCAGTGTAATTTCTAATGGAGAGGGTTTGGACTGGCTTTGGGTCAGTACTTTTATCATTTTAAATTGGGTCGGGCGGGTGCTGGTAAAAAAAAAAGCCAACCTGTGCATCACTAACGACAATACACTGCTGCAGGGTGGCAAGGACGTCGCCACTAAACTGACTGTCTCATTTTCAAAACACAAAGGCAACAGAAGGGTACAGCCAAAGAGAATAAATGGAAAGTTTGCCCTTTCGGCAGACCCTCAAGCCAGCCAAGGCTGGTGCTCAGTCCATTACTGACACACACGGTCCCCTTAACGGCTGGTGAAACCCCGATACCTAGAATCAACACAGTCCCTCCTCCCAGTATTTACAGCTTGCAGTTCTTAACAGTGCTCCTAGGGGGAGCCCCTTCATAGCGGACGCTACAGTATTCTTGACTCTGACTTAAACAGCATAGACTTGCTTTAAGAAAGATGATTACTGTAGGTCAGCCCGCGGACCATCAGGTGCACGGTCCATGGATCACACTTTGAGAACCACTGCCTTATATTTCTCAATTTATTTGAAACATAAGAAAGTTACAAAAAATGTTTAAAAAGAGATAAAAAGAGATCTGGCTCATCTAGAAATTTATTTTGGAAATTTAGGTGCAAAGAAAATATAAAATTTTATTTTTAAGACATTTCTGGAAGAAGCCCAGATATTGAGTCCAAATTTCCTGGATGGGAAGCTTGTTTCAGAAACATTATGTAAAGTTTTTCCTATTCTCTGTGTTGAATAAATTACCTTGATTTGGTTTGCCCAAATGGTGGTAATAAACTAGAAAGAAACCCTAGAGTAATTCCTCCATGGCCCTTACGGGATACTAGAAATGAGCTGCCAATTTATTGTTTTACTGAAATTGAGGAAAAAAACAAACCTAAAAAAATTTTTAAATCATAATGATCATCATGATCAGCCAACAAATTAACCAACGATACTGCTTCTTCTAGAATCTTAGCTACTTCCTGTCTATGGAAATCTCATCATACATGTACCTGTAGAGCAACGGGTCCTAATCCAGTTAAGTGAAATGTGTTTGCTGATTTTAAAAAACACCCCCAGTGGATTATACTGAGTTATAATCTTTCCTGAATAATTGGTTATTTTGGGTAATAAATGTTGTATAGGTTGTTACACGAGTTTGTATTGTGTTCTTTTTGTAGCTCCTTATTATAGATGGACAGCAGTTGAGAAACGATCCTGCAGCTGTAATGGATGAAGTCCAGAAGTTCCTTGGCGTTTCCCCATATTACAACTATTCTCAGGCATTGACGTAAGTTAAAGTGTTAATGCGATAGTAAATTAATGTTATAGGCCTTTTGATTGATGTGTACAATACTATTAAGCACTGCATTTTCTTTGCATCAGTGACAGTGAATCTTGCCATATTTCACGGGTATGTAAACTCTCCTGAACAACAATTATAAATGAACATTGTACAGGCTCTGTCTCATGGATAATAAGATTAAATACGGTAAATATAACCCCAGATATAAAAACTTCAGCATTTCATTTCTAGTATCTTTACCTCTCAGACACAGTTTTTGCAGCCCTTAAAGAATATTTTCTTCTAACAAAGAAAGTTCTAGAATTCACTCACAAAGTCTAGCTTTTTAATTTCTGGAGAAAAGGTTATAGCCAGACCTGCATCTTAAATACTAAGCTGTTCTTCCTGTACTGGCCATACATCTGTTAGTAGGCTATTTTGTTATTTCTTAGGGCATCTTTCCTAGATGTCTTTGTCTGATTGTACCTCCCACTCCATGGATAGAGCAGTTCAGAACACATGACTAGGGACTGTTGCACAGATTTTCTGTTTCTAACCCACTACAACTGACCTCTTGGATCATTGTTGTTTCAAGTCTGTCTCAGCAATAGATTGCTGATTGGTGGGTAATTTCAGAGAACACAACAAACAATCCCACAGTCCTAGGGCTTTCTAACCTACGTAGTTCCCTAGTGGAGCCACTAGGTAAATGCCTTGCTTGAGCTCTCTGTGTTTAACCCTAGATACAAAAAGAGGAAAATGAACACATCCCCAAGAGTCAGTGAGGTGCTTTCCAGAAAAACAGCTGAGCGGGTCACATAGTATAAACAAAATAGTTTTCATTTAACAATTGTTAACATTTTGGTAAACAAGCCTTCAACGGTACAAACATATTTGGTGAAAGATCCTTTTAGTTTATGTTGTTGCTCCAACATAAAAACTGTGTGTTGGTCAGATTACTCTACCAGTTCTTAACAGTCTGTATTGGCATTGTAAAAAATTGTCACATAAAACAGTCTGTTTTAATATTGTATTGGTTAAGTAACATGAATGAATAATCTTGTTCAAATAATAAGCTGTGAGACCTTCAAAACAACTTCAACATCTCAAAAGTTGACTAATCTAGTGTGACTACTCAAGTTGTTTTCTTGGAAGAATTAAATGTGGTCATTTTAACTCCATCAGTATAAAAATGGCTTGTGTTTTTTAGGTTTGATCCCCAGAAAGGATTCTGGTGCCAGCTACTTGAGGGAGGGAAAACTAAATGTCTAGGCAAAAGCAAAGGCAGGAAGTATCCTTCCATGGATTCTGAGGTAAATTAATTTTCCTTGTCACAAGATTTGAGATACAGGAAAGATGATGTTTGTTAGCAAACTCACCGGTACAGTTATAACTGAAAAATAATGTAAAAGGAGGTATTATACAAATGTGTGTAATATTAATGTTGTCCAGTTTACAGCTTTCTTGCAGAGCAAGAAAAGTTGAATTGAAAACTGTTGTTACTGAAATAATTTTTCAGATGCCTTTGGAGGAAAAGATATTGAAGGTCTTTCCATTAAACCTTTCAGCCATGTTCAGATACTGCATCTAGCAAGAACATTTCATCTAATTCACAACTGGCTTGTACTGCCAAAGTCATTTTTCTTTATCTGTGATATTTTCTGCCACTTCTGAAATCAAATTGTTTTCATCACTCAGAAAGAGTGATAGTTTTTATCTTGCCTTTGCTTTTTCTCTGATGTTAAGGGACCACACTGCAACAAGTCATATTCAACTATGATATACAGTTCCAAGTTCCAATCTTGTGTATGTGTCAAAATAAATTAATTTATATTTATCAGTCAATTAATATGTTTTCTTTAATGCAGTGCCTTTCCACTTTGAGCATCTTTTCAATGCTGTATGAACACCTCAAAATTTCTGCAAAATGTCTGCAGTTTTCAAAAAAACAGAACTGTTTCTTTTCTCAAAATTGTTCTTTTTTATATAGTATTAAGAAGAATGTCATAACGAGAAGTCATAATGACACATTCCAGTATTGTAAAGCTTTTAGTGATGGAGTTTAAATCAAACAAATAAGGCAAAACCAATGTTTAAAAGCAAGTCTAGTACACAAATTTGTAAAGGATATTAGCACATCCCTCTGTATCATAAATGATTCTGAGCATGGTCGTTTGGTTTCAAGCATAGTATAATAATAACATGATTAACAGGAGACAGACTTAAAAGACAAAGGTATATTTACAGTAGTTACAAACTAACCACAAATTTGTGAGAAATACAAATGATTATCTACATTCAAATTATACTTTATACATACAGTTATACAACGACTGTGAGTCCAAATGTTCAGGTAGTCTAAAGGTACCCTCACTTGTCCCCTCAAAGATGGACCAACTTTAAATCAAACTAGCCAAGACACAGTTGGTTAGGTAATGCAGTTTTCTACACAGCAAAAGACCCTCTATGGGATAGTCTGTTCTGTGAAATGGATCTAAACTGGGACAACCAATTCTCTTGGAAAGATAATGCATTCCAGAGATGCCTGGCAGGTATTTAAAGGAAATATGTATTTACTCCAATTTAAATCCACAGTCTCTTTTTCTGAAATTGATAGTTGGTTTCTTCAATGCTAAAAAAATAATGTTTCAGTCCTCAAAGTGTACAGGGTCAGGAAAATGTTTTTTAAATTCCCTAGGTTAGTCCATATTCTTGTAGATGGTAGACCTAAACCATAGACCTTCAGGAACCTTAGTAAAAAATTAAGATAATCAGATTAAATAAATAACACCAAGACAAAAGATAGATATGCATTATTTAATTTTCAAAATGATACAACTGTAAATAGCCTCATGTGAATATGTGAAGCCTTATGTTCTATAACCAGCATGAACAACTAGCTGTTCTTGCATGAACAACTAGCTTCAAGTTCTGCCACAACATTTCAATGGGGTTAAGGTTCCAGACTTTGACTTAGCCAGTCTAAAATGTGACATTTCTTCTTCTACCATTCTGTTTTACATCTGCTTGTAGTGTCGTCTTGTGCACTTTCAACTCAGCTTCAGCTATCCAGCCTGACATTCTCCTTCGGAATTTGCTGATACAAAGCCGAATTCATGGATTGCAAACCATCCAGTTCCTGGGGGCAGGAAAGCAGCCCACAAACCACAATATTCCCACCACCATACTTGACAGTGAGGAAGTGGTTCACCGTAGAGCACCTGAACGATCCACAAGACTATTGGAAAAATTAAAAGAAATAATTATATGTGGCTAAGCTAGACAATGAACTCCAATTTTTTTTCCAGAGCTCCAACTAAAACTGACCCTTAATTGAACTGTGGAGTGAACAAAATGCTTAGCGGCTGTGTGTAACCCATATTGGTATAATTAGTTTTCCTGGAACATACTGTAACAGATTATAGGATTCATACTGCCACTTGATACAACAAACCAACAAAACTAGGTTTAGTTTTTATATGTCCTGGATAGCCCAGCAGCCGATAGGCAGGGTATGTGTAATCCTGCTTGGTTAGAAGAGAATCACTACAGGGATATCTACTCAAATCCACAACTTGTTAAAAAATAAAACAAGCAATAGCAGTAGAATAGGCCTTCTGAGGTTTGGCAAGAAATAATGTGAACTCTCCTATATCTGGAGCAGACATTACTTCTATACTTCAGAGCTGACATTAATTAGGAATGGACTTTGGTTTACTCAGTACAGGTTCTGAAAAAAATGTTTCTTAAAAATATAATGGTTTCTTAATTTTCATGTCTCAGATACTACTGATTCACTGACAGTATTTGTTTTCTATATTTTTCTATATTGCGTTTTACTTGGAATGTTAAATGCTATGTTGATCTAACACGTCATGAAGATGAAGTCAGATGAAGTGCATTAGGGAACAACATTTTATAGCACAATAATCATGAGCATTGATTAAAAGTGGACTGTTGGCACTTCTGCAACACATCAATGGATCCTATCTCTCTTTCTCACATTTTTCCAGATAGTAAAATATTAGTGGACTACTCCATGGTATTATTTAACGATGTATATAATAACTAATACAAACTAAACAAAAATAAAATTAGAGTATTTGAGAATATCTGACAATTGACAAAATAACTGTAGCGACCCTGCAGCAACATCTGTTGTTGGTTATGTGCAGTATGCAAGTGTGTGCATGTGCATCCTTGTTCTGGTGTGCTTTATGAGTTGCTGGCTGTAAATCACGGCGAGTGAGAAGAGAGAGAAACCATTAAACTCCTTTGTCCTGCGCCTCCTTGTTAACGCCACAAAAAAAGAATCGGTGCTACACAATTAACAACACAATGAAATGACTGCAAGGATTATGACATGGCACAAAAAAATTAAAATGCCAAATTGTGTATAAACTTCCACACCCAGTGCCGTTTTCCAGTTCACTTTAGTGATTTATTCTTTAAATTGTTCAACCACCGTCATTCATTCATTTTTGAGGTAACAAGATGAATGTGGGAAACATTACAATTCACCAAACTCCTCTGTCAAAGTGCTCCTGTCCTGGCGGGATTTGATTCAGTTATGGATCCCAAGCATGTACAGCACGCTTTTTCTGTAACAGGTGAAATCATCTCATTTTGTCCCACAATCATACATTTGCTTGATAAATACTAGATTATTATATAATAATAGTTGTGTTTTAGTCTTCCTCAGAGATCTAAAACTTGAACTTTTGCTCACTTTTGCAAGTCGTTATGGAAATACTGCTCTTTTGCATGAAGAAACTGTTCTTTCTTGACAAGGATTTAGTATAAATGAACATTGATTTGTGACTTTTACATCAATAAAACCACTGTACCACTACATCACCCACAACATAGCATTTCACAGGCCTTTTGTTCCAATCCAATTATTCTGTGCTATTCCAGGCTCCTTCAAGTTCACCTTGGCCATTTTATATTACCTTACCTTCAGGTTTATTCTAGACAAACAGACATTAGAAACCTGAAGTCAAGCAAAGCATTTTTGACTTTCTACACTGTGGTTTTTGCAAAAATGTGTGCATAGTGTGGAAATGTTACATTTTTATTATTTTTATCTATGAAAGTTTTCTAACAATTTAATCACTTAGCAAAGTGAGCCAATCTCTTTATTTCCTATTTCCATGACAAAGCATTGAAAAGTTTGTCGTTAAAGCTCTTATGCTTTCTTTCTTTGCAGTCTAGAGCATTCCTGTCAAGATACTACAAAGACCACAACATTGAACTCTCCAAACTGTTACACAGACTTGGACAGCCACTGCCTTCTTGGCTAAGAGAGGAACTGCAGAAAGTGAGATAGCAATGAAGAAAATCTTCAAGAAAGGACTTTGTTCAACTTAGGACTCAACAAATCTTTGAGTGGCTGCCAAAAAATAGAGCTGGATTTTGTTTTTCAAAGATGTACCTCTTCAGGAAAGGAAACCCATGTTTAAATGTTTCCATGTGCTGGCATGTGGTGTTAAACAGTCAAAACCCTGTAGAAGCCTGATAAAGAGTGTTGCCTATAGAAAACGTGCAACAGTATTGGAAATTCAGTCTGGAGCCTGCAGAATGAGTAACCATAATTAATTGAGCAGGCATGCACTTGTGACTGCAGTGACTTTTTAATTTATGATTCCAGTGCAGTGCTGGTTAGCTGGCTGGTATCTGTGGTGATAATTTGCACTAAGTTATGTCCCATGCCCCACTCACTGAGTGTTTCGTCTTGTATGTATAGAGAGAATATTAGATAAAACACACAGCAGAGCTTGTAACTAGTTCAACTGGGCATGCTAAGAGTACATTGGGGTGATTCATTTAAATTAAACAATGCCTCAAATGGTTTGTGGGCTCATTGTTTCCCGGAATAATATTTAAATAAAGCGTTTTTTTCTGACTGTTTGCTGCACAATTTGCTATGATCACCTTTCTGTCAATCACCCTGCACTGAGTATCACTTCTCTGTTTGTCTCACTGCATTGGAAAAAAATCACTTTTGACCTCCTTTCATCTTTAATATCAGATTCCATTTGTGCATTATTTTCAAGTGTCTTTAAAAGATGGTGAACAAGAACGTACTTTTGAGCATAGTGAGTTTTTGAACATATTTATAGACACAGGACCTTACAGTACATTTCATGTAGGAATATTGCCTAATATATATTTTTCATCCCTTTTCTAACTGCTTTAGCCAATATAAGGTCACAGTACCTACAATATAATACAACATTCTTTATGGTGTGTATCCATCAGGAACACAAATATTATTAGAATCTTGTAAAATATTTATTTACTAGTAAAGATCTTACTGACATTTGTAACTTAATTTCATTTACATAAATTTTCTCTGAAGACACTTCTTCTTTAAATATGCTATGTTTAAACAGTATGTATATATCAATGAAACCTTGCTATCTTTCTTCACTAAATCTATTTTCCTGTTTGGTACAAAATGAGTCCAGAAAACACCCAACCACTGTTATCTGCATATTGACAGATTTACATATACAGTACGTATATACTGTAGCATACTGCATCCGACCAAGAGGTTCTCAGATCTGTAAGAACTGGAATTGTGAGAAGTAAGATGGTTACAAGCCAAGTACATATAAACAAGCACTAATTAGATTATTAATTGTGATATTTAGGGAAGGTAAATCATAGGAATTGTTGTTATTCTCACAAAAGCCTTACAGTTATTGTCACGATCGTAACCCCTCCTCTTAAGGGCGCTCCAGCCCTTCCTCGTTTGTATCATTCCTGCCACTTGTTCCTTGTTTCTCCCCTGTTCAGTTCGCCTTTATAAGCCAGGCGCTCACCTTACTCGTGGCTCTGCATCTGATCCCCACATCGTGCGAGCCCGGGACCTGGTTGCGCCTGATTCCGTTATGTTTTTAACTTCCTGCTCCTGTCCTTGTTCCCCCCGCTGGTCCCAACCCGGCCCCTGATTTTAATCTCCTGTTTGAATGGATTTCCCAGCCTTGGACCTTTCTGCTTTCATTTTTGGATTCCCCCTTTTGGATTTATTCTGGACTGTTCGCCTCGGCCACACCTCCCCGGATCACCAGCACCGCTTGGACACGCCCCCCTGTTTTCATCCCTTTTTCTGCATGACTTTTCCCTAGTGTTTCCTTCCTCACTTTTTTGGATTGTGTCGTCCGCATAGGGTCCGGAAAGAACTGTTCGTTACAGTTACTGTTATCAGAGGGGTATACAGTAAGACTTGCATACTCTTTCTCTTTTGATATTCACCTTAAAATAAAGTTTAGTAAATACTTCAGATGAGTGTAGAACTCGGATAGGCAATAAGTTATTTTAAGGTAAAATCATCAGTTCAAGGGAAATAAATTTATTAGGGTGAGTAATAGAATACATTTATTGTTCTAACAAAATATACAATAATAGCTGTAATGAAGCTTTAAAACATAGCTTTGAATTTATCAGTAATATTTTAAGCATTGCTAAACTATTATTTTATAATATATATAGAATCATTATTAGGGATTTTTGCTCATTTAGAATACAGTATGTTGTAATTTGCTCATCCAAGTAAAATGTGTTTTACTACACTGGATGGGTTTGAGACATTTATTAGGATAGTTATGATTCATTTTAATTAAAAAGTACTGTATATTAAACATGAAAGCATGCAATTATTGAAAGACATCTGCATGCTTTTCAGAATTACTGGTTTGTTAGAATTTCTTCAATCCAAAAACATACAAGGAATTACTAAACAGCTTTAGGACTGTTGTTGAAAATAGAGTAATAGTCACATTATAACATGTTAAAGTTGTATGGTTGGATTTTTTTTAGTTCTTTTGAGTAAAGGTATGTGAGGGATGAACAATTAATATATTACCCTTTTAAGGTGTGTACTTTATTTAAAAATGCTATAAATTTTACATTTAATTGTGATTACAGCAGCAAATCAGAAATTCATCAGACTACATTTTCCAGTCTAATGTCAGTATCCCATTATCACTGTAGTTTCACCAACATTAGGCACATTTGAACAATTCATTATTTTGATGCTTTCTTAGTAATTTCTCTATATTTCAATCAAAACCAGTTATGTCTATAAAGTTATTGTGAATTTCTAGAATTTATTTTAATACTGTTACCAGGCTCAGCAAACATAGTGCCTCGTGTTGATATATCTGGGAAATTATAATATTTTTGTGCACTTAAATCAGTTCTGTAAGAGTGCAATGTGACTTTATTAACACTAGATGCCGATCTAGTTCATTATTGTTAATTAATTCCCAGCATTCTATTAAAATAGATTAAAAAAGAAGACCCAGTCAAAATAAAACACAAGAAATGCAGTAGTTCATGCATGCACAGGGTATATTCTGTGTTATGGATATAATAAGTGGCACTTTAACCACTGTTTTTCAATTAATCAGAACACAGTTGTTCTTCAGAATAAATATAATTGTTTCAGAAAGCTACATTCTTTTAGACCTTTTTATGAAAAATGGCATAGCCTACTTTGATTAAAACTGCAATATGTTTTTAATTCAAGCTAGCCAATATTTTCCCTCCAGACATGCCATAATAACTAGGCCATTCACTTCTTTGTATTAGTACAGCAAAATGTTTGTTGAAAGTTTACAGTGAATGTCATCAGAGAAATTTTTTTTTTCTCTTTTCAAAGCAGAAAGGTCCTCTAAACTGGCTTTATGCCAACTCACCAGTGTGTACTAGATAAAAGAGTGCTTCTTTCTTCTTAATAACCTCATTTCCTCGGGGAGAAGTGAAATACTTTTCACAATTCAGTTTTACTGGTGGCACCTGAATTTATTGTATCATTCAAACTGAATGCAATTACTGGAAATTGTTTCTCTAGAGTAAAAGGAAATATCACAAATACGAGCATTTATAATGTCAATTTGAAAGGCTAGAAATCATGTTTATTGCAAATCTTGACCACAGATTAACTGCAATGTGAATATTTTCTACCCACTCCACCAATTCAAGATATTGAATTGAAAAGTAATATGATCTATTTTAGGTTACTACAGTATGCACTGTTTAATAAGAGTATTAGAATTCTCGTTAGTTTTTTTATCTTGTATAACTCTCAAATCACAATATTGAAGTCACAACAATGTTGAAGTCACATAGATGCAGATATATTGGAAAAATTGTTAAAAACTTCCTTAATAACTAACTTATAAAATTCATTTTCTGGAATGATATACAAAGAACTCATTATTACAGTCTCTCAGAAAAGATTTTTTTTACTGAATCTGAATTTGAAGTCTTACACATATGAATTACTTTTCATTTATTTTTATCTTTTGAAGTTTGTAATAATCCATTAAAAAACTATTTACAAAATACTCCTTTAGAATAAATCACACACACAACATTTTTGTGCTTGCAGGTTAAACCGGCATTACCTCTTTTAATGCAGGGGTCTGCTGTCTTAACTCAATAGTTACAGTAATATCAATAATTTTGTGTGAATATGTACACTACCCCAAGAATATTACATACCAGATTAATTGGCTTTAAAAACTAAATTTAGAGCCCTCTTTTCTTATAGTTATAATAAACGTTATTCTATGTAGCGCCTTTAAAGGTGGCTTCTCAAAGCGCTTTACAGAATGACAACAACAATAAATAAAAAGAATACGCAAGATAAAACTCACTTACAATACACAGAGGAGAGTGTGGATGGTGGTGCTAAGTACAGTAGGAGCAGAGGGGTAAAGAATGGAACCAGTTAATTAAAGGCTCTTCTAAAGAATAAGGTTTTGAGTCTGGATTTGAAGGATTTTAGGGAAGGTCTCTCTGATATTCTTGGGGAGAGAGTTCCAGAGCTTGGGGGCATAACATGAGAAGGCACTGTCATCCATAAAATGTAGACAGGCTTGGTGGATAGTTAGGAGACCAGAATTAGAAGAGTGAAGGTTGCAAGGTGAGGAGTTGGGCGATAAAAGTTCAGACAGGTACTGAGGTGCCAAGCCATGCAGAGTCTTATAGGTGAGCATAAGGGTTTTAAAGTCCACACGGAATTTGACGGGAAGCCAGTACAAGGACTCCAGGATAGGAGTAATATGAACAGTTGCACTGGACCTGGTCAGGATTCTGGCTGCCGAATTTTGGACATACTGAAGTTGCAGTACATTACAGTACAGACTACATTATAGTAGTCAGATCAGTAGATCACCTTTACAGCCAGAGTTAGTGATAACATAGGGCATAGTCTAGCAATATTTCTGAGGTGAAAAAAAGATGTTTTGACAATATGCTGCACATGTGGCTCGAATGTTAAGCCAGAATCGAATATCACCCCAAGGTTTTTCAATTTAGACTGAAGCTCAAATACAGAACCATCTACAGATTGGGTTACAGGATTGGCTTTACAAAGTTGATGACGTCAGTCTTGTCACAGATAAGATGAAGGAAATGTTGAGGCATCCAAGTTTTTATGTCAGAGATGCAATTAGATAGAATAGAGACAGCCACATCAGTGTCAGGTTTGGTATGGATGTATATTTGAGTATCATCAGCATAGAAATGATAACTGACGCCATGTGATCATAAAAGCTGACTAAGTGGAAACATGTAAATGCTGAAGAGCAAGCAGCCCAGTATTGAGCCCTGAGGAACACCGGACTTAACAAGACTAATTTCAGATCTATACCCATTAAGAGAGACAAAGTGACAGTGATCAGTGACGTAAGACTTGAACCATTTGAGAGCAGTGTCAGAAACTTCAAACAGTCTCAAAGCGAGAAAGCACGATGTCATGGTCAACAGTGTCAAAAGCAGCACTGAGATTAAGAAGGATGAGTACAGAAAGAACCAGAATCAGAAGGTAGTAAAAGATCGTTCTTGCTAGATAAGCTCATATATTGTGTCTATACAGTGTTAAATACACGTACAATGTTGTCA